ATACAACAATTATATAAAGAGCCAGACATAGTAGCAGTATTAAAAAATAGGAGAATGGCATGGGCCGGTCATGTATGGAGGTCAAATGGTCTTCTGAAAGCGGTTTTAAAATGGAAACCCCRGGGAAAAAGACCACTTGGCAGGCCGAAACAAAGGTGGATTGACAAAGTGGAGAAGAATTTAGCAGATATTGGAATACGAGATGGAGAAACAATAGCGCAGGACAGAGATAGATGGAAGCAAGTTTGTGTTGCGGTAATGGGACTCAATGGCCTTTGAAAACCGAAGAAGAAGAAGAAACTATTGTGTTTTGATATTGCTCTGCTCATTAGAACCTTTAATTTAATATTATATTGTGTATTTTGCTAAATTAACTTTGTTAAACCTACCTACCTTTGTGTTAATAATTCATATAATAAACATTTTCAAATTTACTGAAATACATACAAAAAAAATTTGTAGATAGATATGGGTACTACCTAGTACCTACACATAATATCTTGCACACCTATCAATTATTATCACAGATAAGTTAATATCACAAACGTTTTTAAATATTAATATTTCATTGCAACAATTAAATAGGTATTTATAGTTGTAGGAATAAATTTCATCTGGATAATGTCAACCGGGTGTCATGGCTTACTTGGCTTAGTAAAATCAAGGGGCGACTCGAGCTTGAAAAACCRCTGTTGGTGACTCCTCAACTTAAATTAGTGCCCTTGGACGCCAAAAAGCTTAACACGGCCTAGAATTCTATTATGGGTATGTTTTCATATTTTATGCAATCGATAATAACAAATTGTGTCATTTACTAATTTAAGTTTCATTTTATAAAATTATTATACTTTAATCATTCTGCCTGAATATGACAACTACGTTTTCTACATATTATATAAATATATAACAACAAACATAAACATAATAATATATAATTCAACATCACTAGTAGTAGCGTATTAAGGGGGGAGGCTTGTCCTGGGGATTAAAACTCCCTCCAATTGTTTTTCTTATTCTATTAATTATTAAAGTATCGCAAAATATTGTTGACAAATAACGAACGACAAAATATTTCAAAGCTGCATTGAAAATTGAATAATGTATTTTTCAAATTATACCAAATAATAGGAATAAGCTTTGATTTTATAATTACCAAAGTGTTATTTGAATTTCCAGTAAATGATGAACTACTACTTACTTGGTACGTAATTTTTACAATATTGTATTATCGAGTATCGTTTTGTGATGTTGGCCCGGCTGTATTATTAGCATTAGCTATCGTTTTATTTTTTCCTATGAATCCAAATTTTTATTGTAAATTTAAATTTTAAATGTTAAATTAGTTTTAATATAATATTCAGTTAAATCGTTTATACTTTATTTCTGTCATAATTTTATTATAATCAACAATTTAGGTAGCAGTCCTGGAATTTTTTTACAAAAAGATTATCACTTATA